TAAAGTGATGTTTTATTCATCAAGCTCGTTTTGGCAATGTGCAAAAACCTAGCACAAGTAAACGAAATTCTAACGATTATTCTTCATTGTGAAGCATTTAGTCATCATTCATAGATAAACAATGAATATTTTTTATTCTGTAGTAAATAAGAAATACAAACAAATCGATATTAAAGAAGTTCTAATCAAATATCTATTTGAAATATATGTTGAATATTTCTAACATCTAGTGTTACTGAATGGTCTTCAAGACGAATTGTTCGAATTTCAGCAATTTTAGCCAAGTCTTTAATAAGATTTTTTGTTGCATTTTTCACATATATCGTATTATCCATCCAAAAATACACTGGCCCTCCTTCATAATCTTGCGATCGTTTATGTAGAAAATCACGAATAGGTTTTTGTAATCTATCAACATGTTCCATTAAGTGTTGTGCCAAGAGTGTCGCTTTTGTCCCACGGTCTAGTTTATCAAAATCTTTGGGAAGTTCTTTCAATGGATCTGTTGGATTAAAGACTTCGTTCATAACAGTAGCATAATTATTTTTTTTCTAAACAACTTTGTAGTTCATTATCTATTTTCCCGTTGCTCTTATCTGGAGTAATCGATGATGAGTCATTTTGATCTTTCGAAGAATCTATGAAAACAAACAAATATTTATATCAATTTAATTCATCTTCATCTTATAGAAATTATAGATTAACAAAATAATTCACAATAATATTCATTATTAGTAGAAGTTCTGATCAAAAAACGACCGAATCATACCATTTAGTGTTCGACCATTCGCGACAGCAATTCCATATAGAAACATGAGCGAGACGATTGTATTGATGTTGACCATTTTCTTTTGTCACTATTCGATGAATAGAACTGGATATATATAAATAAATTTTCAAGCAAAAATTAACGAGTATGATTTTGCAGCTGTATTGTCATTTATATATACGATACGATCACAAAGAAGAGAGAATATATCACTTTTTTCGTTTTATTAATTAGAAAATATATTAGATCATAGGTCAATGACATGCATCAATTCTTACAAAAAGAAAACATCAATATTCTCTATCACTAATTTTTCTTCAAGATGATTTGTCTGTTCATTTATATAGTGTGACAAATTGTTTAACTATAATACACACGTATATAAATATCCATTCGAATGATTAGTTGATCATAGAATAATCCAAAATGATATTTCAATGGTTTATACTTTTGATAATTCATTTATTGATACAAATTGAAAGTAGTAATTCCATACGTAAGTTAAATAAAAAACTGATCTTTTTCTTTTTTTTTCGAAATCATTTTGTTCGTTTTTAAGTTTATTCTTCAAATAGACGTAATATTACATCATTCGATATTCAAAACACGAATGACACTTATTATGAAAATAATATCTTTGGTTTATCAATAAATAAACCTGATGGATGGTATTCAATGACATCAGAGGAAATACGGTGGGCATTCGAAGATTCCATTATTGAAAATATACCTTATCATAATAGCTCAGTTGATCCATGGATAAAAAGTGTAAAACAAGAAATGACACCAATTTTTGTTTTTATAGAAGATCCGTCTGAGATAACAAATAAGAACGCCAGTACAAGAATGGTTGGATGGATTGTGAATAACACTCGTAAAATGCGTATTGAAGACAATTGCAAGGCTTTATTTGCATGGAGGGATGCTTTTTCTATTACCAAGTACAATTCAATTATCAGTATTGATTGTCATGACGTTATACTAAATAGAAAAATATATTCTATGCAAGAATTGATCATCAATGCGCCAGATTTACCGAAACATAGAGAAACTCATTATGCTACAAATACGGAAAATGATTATTTTTTCATCTTTGTACTAACATATAACAATATTACCGTCAAGGATAAACTTGACCATGCTATACATAGTCTAAAATTTTTCAAAGAATGAATGTCTTTGTTTTTTGTTATTGAAAATAAATTTTTTTTTGTGTCAAAAAAAACACATGATTCTTGTTTTAAATAATCAAAGATTTGTGTAATTATTCAATGAGTTCACCGTTATACTAATTGAAATTCTATTTGATCGATAATGTTTTAAAAAAAGAGACGTTCGCTACAGTTAATCTTGACGATGATACGAGTGACATTTGCGTTGAATTAAAATAGTTATCAAATATCAATGATTTTATTGTTGTGCATTTGTTTTTCGTGTTCTGCCTTATTATATAGTGATGATGCATTTTACAAGTATTTTATAAATAGGTTTTTTACTCGTGTGGTCTCTTATCGTGTATTGTTGAAAAAAGCAACTAAAAAAAATGAAAATTTTCTATTTATTAATTCTATTATTATATTTTTTAAGTAAGTTCATATGTTAAAAAAATGATTTAGACAAGAGTATTTTTCTTTTAGAATGTCAATCAATCGGTTTATGGAATGATACTTATGCTAAAGGCCACGTTGTTCGTGTAGATGACATGGATGTTTATACAGTTGGTAGTGATACAAATTCATTAAAAGATTTATCTATAATTGTTTTTTATGATATTTTTGGATTTAATATAAGTCAAACACGTGTATTTTGTGATCGACTTGCTGCTGAATATGAAGTTCAAGTTGTTATGCCAGATTTTTATCGTGGTCAATCGGCATCAGTAACAACACCTCATTTAATAGCATGGGTTGCTCAAGTTGGTAATTGGTCTCAAGTATCAATTGATTTGATAAATATTGCTTCTTGGCTTCGAAATACGTCATCATCATCTCGTCGTATTGCAGTCATCGGTTTCTGTTGGGGTGGTCTACAAGTTGCTCGTGCTTGTTCGAATCTATCGAATCTCTTTTTTACTGGTATTTCTGTTCATGGTGCATGGTTGACAGAAGAGGAGGTTAATAATTTACAACAACCAGTCTTTTTTATAGCTGCTGGTGATGATCCACCATTGCAACCCAATATTTCGACTGTTATAGAACAATCGACAAGTTCAAGAGTATCTAGCCAATGTCAATATGAGACATATTCAAGCATGACACATGGTTTTGTATCAATGGGTGCTAATTATTCAGATCCATACAATGTAGAAGCTATTAATAAAGTACATACAAGTGTTAAGATGTTTCTTGATAAAATTTCTCGTAATTCATCATCGATCATGTCTTATTCTCGAGAGATTTTATTGTTCTTTTTTCTTTTTCTTCTATTTAATGATAATATAAAACCATACTGAAGTAATAAAAAAGATGTATTAACAAAGATTTGTTATTCGACTTGTAAAGATGTAATGCGTGTTCTATAGATCCATCTTGAGGGTGTATGTGGTCATGCAATATAATCCTTCTACCCTCACCCACATTCTCAAAATTAAATATGACAGAGATGCTACAAGATTGAAGTTAGTTCTTGTTGTATTTGAATCCTCTAGACATGTTTATTGTCAGTACGGAATCAATGAAAAATCTTTTATAGACAATATAAATCGAATCATAAAGATAAAGATCGTTAACATTACCTGATCTTATTTTTCTTGACGAAGTCTTTGTACAAATATTTCGATATACGAACAAATTCGATTTATTTCGTGCCTTTTATAATTTAAATTCACGTCTCAACCGTCTTGTTAATCAAACACGGATTTACTTTCATGATGAATTAGACGAAGAACATCGTCAAAGTATTCTTCCATATATTCATCCACAACAAATATGGTGAGTGTGGGTTCGGGTGTAAGTGTTCATAAAAACGACACATCCACATCCCCCTTTTTTGTTTCTCATCTTCATAAAGCTTTAGGATGGGTATGGATTTGAGATGACGTAAAGGCCCACATCTATCCATACCCCACACTCCCAAGATTTGGTTTTCAATTGAAATAATCGTCTGAACACCAATGTACTCATATTGCTATTCTCAATTCCAAGTTGATCTCACGTGATTTTACTATACTATGTCATATCTTCCTAATCAATTGAGGGTGATAATGCTGATCTCTTATTCACATTCGCCTACCATTCTAAAGAAAATAGCCGTCTTAATCGTGTAGACAGCATTTGCTGAAACAAATACAGAGTAAAATAAGTTTTATTTTTGAACTAATAGAATCAAAAAGATAATTCATGGATAGACATATCTTTTTACAGTGCTTACTAGTTTCATTACAATAGTTTTAAGAGTTTAGTATTGGTGAAATAGTACTTGCAACGGCAGTATCTCATTGCCTAAAGAACAGTAGTTTCATAAACATGTTCTTAACCCTAGTTCGATAGGACGATAGACAAAAATAGTATATGTAAAATGTACTGCTTGTATATGAATAATAGATTATATTTGCAACTGTTGCGATTAATTGATCAATCACATAACTCTCGTCAGTTATAGGTCGCTTCATTGCAGATTTAATAGTATGGTATAGAGAGTTCGCGGACCAAATTAAAGTTATCATGAATAAATAGAGAACTTGCAGAAGTAACATGTTCGTTAATTGAACACTTGCTCTATCGAGCGGCTGCCTGTCTTGTAATTGAGTAAGTGTCGCAAGTTGTAAAGAACTTCTTTGCAGTGGTCTGACGCCTAGTGACCGAATGTTTCGATAGGTTTTAAATCCAATTATCGATAAAACGCAAAGTGGTAATAGCATTCGTAAAATAGGATTTATAAGGTAACTTTGATAACTAAAATAAAACTTCCCGTCTGCTAAACACAGTGGTCTAGGATGAATAGTAATGTAAATTAAATCAGGTATATGAATTACGCACGAGAAGAGTGTTACCAGTGACATGCAAATTTTTGCCACTTTAAGGGTACTCCAGTGACGATAACGTGCACCACGAGAGGTCGATAGAAATCTGTCGATAGATGCTAAACACATTATTAAATCGAAGTTGTGGTAAATACATTCGTTAAATATGGTTTCAGCTTACACCAAACAATAGATAACTTCGTGCCGTCGTTCATATATATATTGCCAATCATAGTTGCAAGTATATGTATCAGTATTGCGAAACAATCGAAAATGTTTGTTATAATTAGGTAATAGGGACATGGATTATCTTTTAATTTAGAAATAAATAAGAGAATATTAAATGAATTACCTATTAGTCCAGTGATTAAGAGGAAGCCAAATCCATATATGTTAGTATATTTAAATATAGCGGCTAATTTTAATATATATGGTGAAGGTGACCACATATTATTGTTGGAGTTATGGAAAACAGTCTCTAAGAAGAGCTCTTCCTTTTATAAACTTCGTAGATGTGAATGACTTCTCTATTTCCTTAAAAATATGAGATAAGAAAATTGATTGACAGGTCTATTGTGAATAAAGTTATTTTTATCTCATAAGAACATCTGCTACTTTATTAGAAAGATAAATAATATATTGCAATGAATTCATTTATGTAATGCGGGGGAAGAAAGCACACAGAATCTTTAACAGAGACTCTACGGGTACAACAAACATTTCATCAGGGAGTGGTACTAAGACAAAAATTGAGATATATTTTCCATTAGATTATCGGGAAACTTGAATGAATGATCTTTTTATTGTAATGCATATAACTATGTAGAACAATCTAGTTAAAAATCATATATTTTTTTCTTGATCTGAATATAGTATAGAATGAATATACGCTGAGAATAGTAAATATCTATTCATCACGCCCATCTTAAGGGTGTGGGTGTGGGTAGATATTGGTATATGATTCATCGTTCATCCACACCCACATCCACACCCTTGTATTATTCATATTTAATAATATGATAGTATGTTCTAGACTGAAGATTTTCATCTTTATTCATCAAATAACAATATGAGTAAATCAACAATAATCCAACAACAAACTCGTCAATCTATTGCAGCTGCAACTTCTAATGATACTATTCATCTGAATGTAAAAAGTTACCAATCAAAGGAGATCGGTATAAATGTTTATTTTGTCCGGATATTGATTTTTGTGAATTATGTAAATCTACTAGCAGACCAAATCATGATTCAGATCATCTATTATTATGTATTAAAGATTCAAGTGTATATCAAGGTTCAGTCTACATGTCTAATCGTAGTCGATTATGCCATGATGGAATTAAATGCGATTCATGTCTTATAAATCCAATTATTGGTATTCTCTACAAGTATTGTTGTGGAACAAACTTATATGAAAAATGTGAATTTATTGGTATACATAATCAAAATCATCATCGAACAAAAATAGCAGCACCAATAGATTTCAATTAGAAACGGACAAATCATGTCATTTTTTAAAATTTCAAGTCAAATCAAGATTCAAATCGATTATAACTAAGTTTTTTATTCTTAAAAAATGAAGATATGACAAATTCATTCTATTTTAAATGATAATCAGTTTTTAATCAAGTTTCATAATAAGTGAAAAAACATAAATCAACTTATTTTCATTTAAAATTTTATTGGAAAATGAGATAAACAATGGAAGACTGAAAAAAGACCTTCAAGGTTTCTAAAATCCTTGATATTATTTCTAGTCAAATTCACTCAGTAAAAATAGCTGTTGTTCTTAATCATTTTTTCCTGTGACATTTCAAAATACAAAATCAAAGTTGTAGTCTCCACGGTGGATGTGTGTGTCTATGTTCTTTTAATCATACCTGCACCCTGCTTACTTCCTAACTCTTCGAACTTATCATTTTATACATTACCACACTCCATACCTACTCTGTTCTGTTAAAAACAACTCACCAGACCGATTAAAAATATTGTGCATCGTCGTTGCTATGGCTTTCAGCCATCGTACATTATTCTCTTTCATCCATTCTCTTAAGTCATGCATACATTATTGAGTCATTCACGCATGATCAGAATTCCTGAGTCATCAGTATATGATCAAGTATTATTGTTTACCACGGAGAAGCAAACTGATTTCTATACTGAAAATCAAAAGAGATTAATAGACATCAATGATAAACATCATTACTATTTAGAGTTAATTTTCAAAATTATTGGATATATAATCAAAAAGAAAAAACTATTATACGCTAATTCGATTCCTATGAACTTTACACTGAAAGAATAGTGCAAAGACGTTAAATTTGTAGAATTTTGGTTATTCGAAGTACGCTTAGAATGAAGAGTGAACAAACTTATTTCCGTACTAGAAACCCATATATATATATGTGCTTTGATGTTTGCAGAGATTCATTCGTTTCACTTCAAATAAATGGATTCTATCTTTGCACTCACTTTTTAAAAAAAGTCTGTATGAGTCACATCAACCCTGAGTAAATCAAGTGCACGCATGATTTTGTTTTCTTCCAACATGCATACATCTGCACGTTTATGAATTTGACGTCATCAGACAGAAAACAAAGCCATTTATGGAGTTTTGTTCTTCAGGATTTATTCCCATTGCTTTCTTTTTTTTGTATATAAATAGTTTGTAATGAGATTTGATGTAGCAGGAGTTAAATTAAAACAACTCTTATCGTAATCGACTAGTCATACACAATATCGTAGTTTATTCTTTTAGATATTCAAACGATCGCTTATTTTATTATCTTAACTACTCTGATCAAAATGACAACCATCCTTTTCAAATCAACCAACAAAAAAATCAAAAGCAAGGAACTATCCAAGACACTAGTCCGACTCCTTTACGGTGTTCACGACTTAGATGCTGCTCTTGTCCGATTCAATACAATTTATTCAGGCGACATCATAGGAACCAATGATATACTAGCAGAGTTCGATGCTCATG